TCTTGCCTACTCCCTACGTGACCTTGGACAAGTTACTTAAAGTCTTTGATCCTGGCTCATAGATGGCACCCATGAGGCTTGTTTCTTTCCCTGTGGTTGCCTGGTTAGTAAAGTCCTTTTTTGCCATCACCCCCTTGCTGTGTGCCTGGGTGGAGGTGAGGAGAGGAGACAGACGGTGAGGCTTAAAGAGCCATGCACACAGCTGTGCTATCTTTTTCTGGGAGTATTTCCAAGAAGAGACTGTGCTTTTTAAAAAATGTAGGAAGGCAGGGTGAAGTTTGACAGGTGGGAAGAGAAGAACTGCCCATCCAAAAGGAACTTAGTGTGGGGAAAACACAACGGGAATTGGAAAAGCAGGTGGTGGAGTGCCCCCCAAACATCACTTTCAGTGGTGGGAAGGGAGGAGGCAAGGGTAAAAAGAGGGAGATGTTGAGCTTGACATGCAGGTAGGCAAACAGTCAGCTGAGCATGTTTCTTGGTTTTGGGGATCTTTAAGGGACCAACCCAGGGGAGTACAACACCCCACAAATTAGGTGAGCAGCAATGTCAAAACATAGCTGTGGCTACATCCAAGTTTTTTGCCTTCACTTTCAGTTTCCTTGTTTGTGAAATGGGGGTAATAGCCCAGCAAGGAAAGGATGCCATAACTGGGGGCTAGCTAATGGTTAAGTGTGAAGGACAGAGGGGGACCAAGTGCCAAATATCACGCAGGAGGAGTACATGAACCTGTCCTCATAATGCTGCTCTTAGGAACTGGTCAATTGCCTCAATGAGAGCTCTCCACTGGGGCGGGGGTGGGGGGGTCAGGAGGAGAGGGGATGTGGGAGAGAGAAGGGAGCAAGACAATCGTCCTTGGGAAGGTTGGAGGAGAAGAGACAAGGAGAGGCAGGATTGACTGCATGGGGAGAGGATGCAGGGTCCAGGGAGCCACTCTGTAAGACAGGAGGAACTTACCGTGTGATGGGAGGGAGCCGGGGAGAGGGAGCCGTGAGGCGCCCCCGCAGCTGACTCTTCCTACCCCTGCCCTACCCTGTGCTTAGCGCCTGCCCAATCCCTCCAGTGTTTTTCTAATGTGTGATTTAGCCATGGGAGTGAGCGCTTTGTAGCAGAGGATGGAGCAGGGCAGCTGGTGACATACCTGGCTCTACAAAACAGAGTCCTGGCCCCAGCCACTTTCACTCAGAAGCAGTCTCATCTGCTGGTGCTCCCGTGGGTTCTCAGAGCACCCCTCGTACCCACATGCTGCGTCTTCCTTCTGAGATGCTCTAGCATGTTGCCTCTTCTTCAAGCTCCCTTTCTGGTGGCATGCCAGGGCTCCCATCTGCTGGCCCCTGAGCGCGGCCCTCATCCATTCTGAGTGATGGTCCTGCCTTCTCCTTGTCAGAATTCAGCCTCCCCATGTCACCCTGATGGCTGGGCCCTCCTGCTGTCCCTGACCCTCCCACTGCCTCGTAGCCTCCTGATTCTTCCGCTTCATCTTCCCCCACTGTCCGATTTTAGAGTCCTGTCCTTTCTCAGACACCCTGTCACCATGCTTCTCATGTGATGGGAAAGCCCCACTCATTTTTTTTGCTTTGTTTTCCCACTGGCTACAGTTCAATCGACAGTGACCCTTGGATATTGCAATGACACCACAAAATTGGGACTTCCCCGATGACTACCCCTCTTTGGCAAAAAGGGTATCCAACTGCAAGATGCAGCCCCTCCTGCTCTGTTCTGTTGGCTATAGGTGTGGCCATTCTATTTCTGAAAACCTTAGATCCCAGGTCGGTGACCAGACCCAAAGGCCCCTTTCCCAAGCCTTTCTCAAGGGAGGGCAGTGCTTTACCCCCAGCAAGGTTTCAGCTTAATGCTGCTGAGCTGGCTAAGCTGGACTCGGGTCAACTCAGTGGGCTAGCTGCAAGCCCCACCTCCTGGGCTGCACCAGGAGAAGTGAGCAAGCCGTGAAGGTCACTGCTCGGAACTTGTCACAGCCAAACGTGAAGTGTTTAACAATTTCCAGCCTGATCTTTGGAATGCAGAGTGATCGAGCCATAGCTCGAAGCGGATCAAAAATGCTCCCAGGTCCATCCAAGAATTTCACTGGCGGCCATGAGGCCACTTCCACAGCTGGTTCCCATGAGCTTGGGTCTTGGCCAGGATCATGAATTGACTTTTGGATTGACCTCAGGCAAGACAGAAGTCTTCCAAGTGAGCCACTGTGAAGAGGGAAAACCCCACACTTCTCCCCTCTGTAATGGAATACACTGCAGGCCTTTGAAGATTAATCACTTAACAGGGGGAAAGTGATCTCAGTTAATTCTATTGGTGTCACCTCTTTCTTTGTGGCTTGAATATTTCTCTCCTGAGGAAGGTGGAATAGAATTCAAATTTGGTTTTGAGCTCCATAATCAAGGGTTTCTCTCAGATATTCATAGGTAATATACTTCTTTTCCACTGTTGGCAAAAGATTTGAATCCTTTGCGCCCAGCATGCCTAGACTTCCTTTCCCCCCCAGCCCCTCCTAAGGCTATGTCCACAGGGTCCATTAGGACAATGGTCATTTTCAAGGCCATTGGAGTCAGACTCTGGATTTAAATCCTGATTCAACTTCTTGACAGATGTACGATTTTTGAAAGATATCTTGTTTCTGCATGTAAAAAAAAATGGGATTAGATCACTGTATTAGTTTGCTAGGGCCGCTGTAGCAAAATAACACGGACTGGGTGGCTAAAACACCGGAAATTTATTTTCTCACTGTTCTAGAGGCTGGAAGTCCAAGACCAAGGTGTTGGCGAGGTTGGTTTCTTCTGAGGCCTTTCTCCTTGGCTCGCAGATGGCCGTCTTCCCGTTCAGCTTTGGTAGAATTGTCCTCTGATTACTAAGGGTCAGTAGTACATCTGAGATGTATCACTATTAATGTTAAGAGATGAGTTCACAAAGAGAGGGGTGACATCACAGATCACAGGGATGTCTAAAGGGACTTTCCGAGGATGCTCCAATGTTGGTAATAAGCCTGGTATATACTGTCAGAATGATGACGCATTCCCTGCCATCCAGAAACCTATAGCCTAAATCGTGTGACTCCTAAGGGGACCCACCTCCCTCCCTGCCCCAACCCAGCAGACAACACGAGCACAGGAGGCTGAACATTTAGCATAACCACCGTGACATGGTCGCAGAATGTATGCCTCAGTGGATGCTGGCGGGAATGCCCTGTATGTACAAAGGGCAAAGCAGAACACATGAGGACTGTTCAGAACTTTCCAGGGAAGTGAGAGGAAAATCATTAGATGTTTTTAAGATTGGTTTCTTTGGAGAACTTGGGATATTTTCTCCCACATTTGCTCTCAGAATTGGTTGTTATTATTACAAAATTAACACATACTCATCGTAGCAGTTAACCATCCAGGGTTTTTCTATGCTCACAGTAAGATACTGGTTTTTGTTGTTATTCTGTAATGTTCTGCAAGCTGCAACCCGGAGCATCATCTCCTTGAAATGTTGGAAGGGAAGGGCTGTGTGAGATGGGCAAGGAAGGTATAAAATGACAGAGGACTTTGATTCTCCATTGAAGTTTGGAGAGGAGTGGAGAGGTGGATAGGGACTTGGGGAAAGACAGGCAGAGGCCGGAGCTCTGGGGCAGTTACTTAGTCTCTTGATGGATGGGGCTCTTAGATCCAACCTTTGAGCTTAAGGGAGTAAATTGCTAGGTGCCATTGATTTCGGCCTGGAGGAGTGTCGTGGGGGACTTGTGCTCTGGTGTGAGGGTTAGGGAATGTGGTAAGGAGATGGTTGTCCGTGGAGCATGATTCAGGGCTGCAGTTGAATTTGGTTGCATTTAGTTGAAATTTGGGGAGAGAAGAAAAGCAGAAGAGATGCTAGCTGGACTGAGCGAAGATAATGCATGGGGGAGTCAAGGGGTGATGGGGCATCTTGTTTGAGAGGAGGTGGCATAATAATGTCTGGCTAATGATCGCTGGCTCAGGGGTGGGTTTGGAGGAACTCTAATAACTATTTATTGTGTTTAGCTTGATTTAGTTATAAACATCAAATGAGCAACATTAAAAGTAAAATTGCTCTTGGTGATTCAAGTATCACTTGGGATCAGATACATTCACTTGCCCGCTGAGGAGAAATGCAAAAAAGAATGTGCAGAGGCCTTGGAAACCAGCCTAGTGAGGGGAAAAGGCGTCCTCAAAACATGAGCTCTCCCACTGCTGAGTCAGGACAGAATCTAGGAAAGGAGAAGGACTCTCAAGTCAATATCTCAGGGAGCACTGCACAGGGATTTGTGGAGAAGGCAACAGGGATTGTGGGAAGGCCAAGAGAGACAAGGAAGAGTGAGAGAGGCAGCCAGCAGACAGACAGGAGATCCCAGGGTCTTTGATCAGGGTGGCCTTGGGGAGTGGATCAGGGAGGGAGAGGCTAAGTGGAGGCAGGTTCAGTGAAGGGCTCCTGAGGCTTCAGTTGGGCTGGTGAAAAGGCCAAAGAGGGACTCCAATGCCTTCCTAAAGGGAAAGGGCTGTGGACCCAGGGGCAGTGAGTAAGCTGTCAGTCTGCCCAACTGGTGAGCTCCTCTGTGAGCTTCTCTGACTGCACAGGCTGCTGGTGACAAGGACACCACCCCTCGCTACACATCGGTCTGCACAAGCATCCTGTGACCTCAGGTTTCCTTAAAATAGAACACGTGTGGTCCCCTCACTACAGATGTCACAAACCACTACCGTGGCCCCCGTGCTCATGCCCTTGACAGAGCATGCATGTCAGCCTCAGCTTTCCCCTTGAGCAGTGAATCTCCAGAAGTCTGGGACTGGGTTGTTGAAACAAAAACAAGATATCAAAAGCTGTCAGCTTAGGGAGCAATTGTGATCTCCAAGTTCGGTTCCTGATTTTGTGTTTCTTTCTCCCTCCTTCTTTAGATCGTGGTGTGTGTGGGCGTCTCCTCAGCTGGCAGCCATGCTGTGCCCTGAAGTTGACGTCCAAGATTTTGACTGTGTGGGTTTGTGTCTTTCCGGCAGGTGTCTCCTCTGTGACTTCCCTGATGTCCCTGGCTTGGGTGCTAGCCTCCTATCACAAGCTGCTGCGGGACTCCAGGGACGACAAGAAGAGTATGAGCTACAGAGGGGCCCTCATCCAACTCTTCTGGCGCCTCTTCACCATCTCATCCAGAGTTATCTCTTTTGCCCTCTTTGCTTCCATCTTCCAGCTCTACTTCGGGATCTTCGTGGTGGTTCACTGGTGCGCCATGGCCTTCTGGATCATCCATGGCGGAACAGACTTCTGCATGTCCAAGTGGGAGGAGATCCTCTTCAACATGGTGGTAGGGATTGTGTACATTTTCTGCTGGTTTAACGTCAAGGAAGGGCGGACTCGATATCGAATGTTTGCCTATTATACGATAGTCTTGACTGAGAATGCTGCCTTGACGTTCCTTTGGTATTTTTACAGAAACCCGGAGACCACTGACTCCTATGCGGTGCCAGCACTGTGTTGTGTCTTTATTAGCTTTGTGGCTGGGATCGCATTGATGCTCTTATATTATGGTGTGCTGCATCCCATGGGGCCACGAGCTAAGATCTTTGCCAGCTCCTGTTGTGCCGAGCTGCTCTGGGGCATCCCTTTGCCCCCCGATGTTGAGCCCATGGCGCCTCAGACCCCTGGGTACCGGGGGACCCAGGTCACGCCTACCAGAGCCGTAACGGAACAACAGGAGGATCTCACGGCTGACACTTGCTTGCCCGTTTTCCAAGTGAGACCCATGGGGCCCCCCACCCCGTCGGGGCGTCCTTACCACCCAGAAGGGCCCCTCATTAAGATTGACATGCCAAGAAAGAGATACCCAGCTTGGGATGCTCATTTTGTAGACAGGAGGTTGAGAAGGACTATTAACATTCTGCAGTATGTCACCCCCACCGCGGTAGGCATTCGGTATCGAGATGGACCGCTCCTTTATGAGTTGCTACAGTATGAATCTTCACTCTAAGAGCATCTTGACCCAAGTTGAGAAGGGGACCTTAAGTTGGTTTGCGGTAAACACCGCTTTGCAAGAAATATAACCCTCCCTTCCCCTAATCCACAAAATCACAACCACCATCACCACCACCACCACTGCTACAAAAAAAAAAAAGAAAATAATAAGTCACAGCCCCTTCAGATAAGCTTTCTTTCCAGTCGCTGTATGTATACAAAGATATTCTCTATGTTTTGTAAGTAAAAACAAAAAGAAAACCTTTCTTTTGTTTTTTACACATAAGAAACAGTATTGAAAAATCCCACACTATTGTTCAAAGGGTGGAGAAGAAGGAGTTGTCTCCACTCCAAAAGAAAAAAAAAGTTTTATACCTTACACCAAGTGTAGATCATTTATGGGATTGGTGCTGATTGAAAGAACAAAACAAAACAAACAAACAAACACAAACAAACAAACAAAAAAAACCTTCAACTGCCTTATGCCCTTAGGTGCTGAGTTTCATTAAGTACTGTCACGTTTTCTCATGCAAAACTCTCTGGTGGGTTTTGTACCAAGAGAGGGAAAAATTAAACAATCAATTGAAACAAATCTAGAAACAAAACAAAAACCAACCAACAACTAAAACACAAAGCAATCATTCTTCCTATCTGATGATTTGTAAGAAAACAAACAAATCTACCAAAAGCAAAGGCAAAGAAACCCCAATCTCTTTTCGATTTCTCTCCCTCATCTCCTGTCCTGACCCCAACTTAACAGCGCCTTCCAGAAGCCAAGTGGCCATTTGGAGCTCAAATGGCTGATAAAGCTACTTGAAGGCTGACCGTGTGCCATTTAGCATTCACCTAGTGCAGCTCGCATTTGTTCCCTGGTGAAACGCAAAACAGAACAAAAGAAAAAAGCCACCCCAATAATTTGATGAGAACAGGAAACTCTAAAGCAAATTAAAGGAAATTTCCATGTATGTAATCCAAGAAAATCAGTAATAATAAAACTCAGCATAGTAGCAAAAAGAATGACATCAATTTAAAGGCACAATACTTAATCAGTGACTGGCAAAAATGATTTTGGTCTGTCATTTTAAGGCTGTGAAAGGTATACATTTATCACACGTGATACTGTGTAAGGCCTCTTCTGTTTCCATTTGGTGGGAAGCCTTAAATTGATCTGGAAAGAATTCTTCATTTTTCATTTGTGCTTTTTAAAAATATTAACACAGAGAAAAATTAGACTCTATAAAAAAAACCCACGTCAAATTGTAATAATTGACCCATTTCAAAGACTGTTTGGTGCTTCTGTCTTTCACCGTTGTGGTTGGCTGAAAAGTCATTCAGCTCACTTGGTGCATCTGGGGTGAGTGGGAAAATTTTGTGTGTGTGTAGTGTGTGTGTGTGCCCATAGCACATGTATACATGTGTGTATGTGTCTGCTGCAAGGTCTTGCCAGAAATGTAGAATACCACTCTAAGGCAGACTCTGGGTATGGCTACGGTGGAGTAGGAGGGGGCTGGGGAGGGGGAGCAGGAAGGAGGGGATGGTGCTGGAATACAAGCCCCTGTCTGGATGGCGAGACTCACACCAGCAGCGTACTCGGAGTCTGAGAGGCTTGGGTGAAAATCTGATTATTTTCTCATTGTACCAAATTGAATTTCAAGAAGTGTTGCAAGTACGTTCAACCATTTCTTAACTGTTATTTTTCAAAGTATTGTTCCTGTAAGGAATATTCTGTTCTAGGACATCGTTTCAATCCCATTGTATCTCTACTTGGGCACAAAAAAAAAAAAAAAAAAAAAAAAAGGAAAAGAAAAAAATCACAAAAACAAAAAATCTCCACAAAAAGATATATATATATATATATAAATATATACACACACAATATTTTTTAGCAAATACTCTTAGTCTTTGTTGTGTGTAGCTGCAATTTTTTTTAAAATTCCAGATATAACTGTTTAGGGTGCAAGACCTCACATTGAACTATTCTTAAGAGAAGTTCAAAAACTGAGGACTTTTTTTTATGTTTGTGGGTTTTTTAAAAATTATTATTCAAAGAGGCTTCTCCTTCCCACCCCCTTTACTGTTTATCTGAAGATGCATTAAAAAAATAACAAGTTTTAAATTTCAGTTCAGTTGTAAATCTGGATGTTCCTTTCTTTGTTCAGATCCCTTTGATTTCCTTTACTGTTACTAAACTCTGCAGTGCTATCCTGTCCCCCTCCCTGACTTGGTTGTCCCCTGGGGTCTTCCCCAGTGGGAAGGAGGGGCCGGAGGAGAGGTGCAGAGAACCTGTGGCCCAGGGCCACCCACCTAGGAAGCACGCTGCACAGAGCACACCCAGGCCTTGGTGAAAACCAGCCATGTGGGCCTATCTCTGCCCATCCAAGGGACAGGCCCGTGGGCCACTCAGTGGTTAATGGGGAGTTCCAATCTGGTCAGAGGTGCTTTTCCTTTGTACTCTGCTTCCCTCCTGAGGGCTTAGCTCGCTGCTTACTCTGCCGAGGCTGGAGGACTCGAGGCCACGTGAGAGGAGCCATCCCCTGGGCTTGCTGGGGGCCCAGCTCTTGTCTGCCTCAGCTCTGGGGCCCCGCGTGCCGGGAGCCCTGTGGATGTCCATCACTAGAGCAATCCTTGACGTCGTCCCCCTTGCATCCCTGTGGGACCTGTGCCACTTAGGCTTGGTTGTCTCTTCTGGGATTTATTTCCTTTCTCTTTCTCTTTCATTTCGACACAGTTATAGGCTTTAATTTGCAGCTCTATTTTTCTACTGCACATCCAGCATGTGCGTGCGTGCGTGTGTGTGTGTTTATGTTTACATGCAACTGAGAAAATGGCTCACATTCGTTGACCTGGAGCACCAAAAGTTGGGGTGATAACTTCCAACTCAGGGAGGGTCCTCTGGGGCTGTAGCCACTGGTCACAAATGAGGAGATCACAGGACTTTTCAGAAATCCTGTCGTTCAACCTTTGTCGGAATGGCCGCTGCAAGACTCAGGCAGGAAGGCACACTTCTCTCTCCAAATGCCATTCCCCACCCCCTTCATTCTGCCGGCTCCCTTCCTAATGATACCAATGAAAATATGCATCTCAGTGCAGTGGCAGGGAAAGCTGGTTTGCAAAGAGACAGAAGAAGGAAGAAAAGTCAGGGAAGGAGGAGAAAACATGGGAGGGAAGGAAGGAGGGAGGGAGGGAGAGTGGGAAACATAAAGAGAATGGCCAGATGAGAATTTTCATCTGTCTTCTCAGTATCATCAGCCTCTAGCAAGTCCTCACGTTTTCAGTCACCAGGAAACCCTCTCTCCACTGGTCCCAGCCATCCCCTTCCCTGCTAGTGTGCTTCCCCTGCAGGGGCTGCGGGCAGCTGGCTTGCTGGCCCAGGGCGACAGTGTGGGAACCCACACTCTCAGTGCTCTGAGTTCACGCAGGGAGGTCTGTCTCTCTATCTGGAAGACTTTGGTCCTGAAAACCCAGATCTTCCAGGCCACTCTGCTGTGGGTCACTCTTTGCCTCCACTGAGAAGCAGTGGCCTCCTCCACACTGGGAATCTGCCTTCAGTCTGCCATTTGCCTGAGCCCCCGACCAACGCCTTCTGGGCGATGAGGCGCTGCTCACAGAGCCGCAGCTACTCACCAGGGTGTTGCCTATGATGTTCTTTTAAAGAAAAAAAAAAAATCTCTGGACCCACGTTTTGCCCAACAGCTCCTGGTGAAAATAAATGAACTCTCAATGTTTGGTTCTAGTAGGAGATAAGCACATTGTATCAGGAGCTACAGAATAAAATAGGAGGCTATAGTCCTTCCTCTCCTTACTGCCACCCCCCAGGAAATATGTCCACAGTCACGCAGAAAATTTGGCTCCTCTTTTCATTCTCAGAAATATGCTGGCATCTTTAAAATCTAGCTGATTGTGTAGCATCCTTTCTGCAAGCTCTGTTTCTCCCTCGCTCAGTAGACCTGCCTCTTCTCTGGCCTCTGCGTTGAAAGGAAACGCCAGTCTCCTCCATTAACTGGAAGTGATGTCACCTGAGCTCACTGCCACACTCTATGACAACCCAAATGGGAGAGTCAGGTCTCTTAAGAACATGACGAAGGGAGCTGAGAGGGTTTAAATTCATCACGTGAGCCCCCACAGACCTTGCTTACCCCCAGAGTTTCTTGTATCTGAAATATACTACTTCACTGTCTCTGGAAGGTTCATATTGCTCTCCAGGGTCAGACTTGTCCAAGGACACTGGGAACCATGGGCGCTGTGAGAACAGGCCCCGTCTCTCTTGATGGCATGGCTGCCGACATGTCCCTTCTCAGTCAAGGAAGCCAACCTTTCCTTATGGCCTGGGGGCTCCACCACACCTGTCAGATCCCCACACTCAGCCTCCCCGAGCACAAAATCACTCAAAACTCTGTGGCCCCATGGCCTAACCTCTCCCCTCTCAGTCCCAGGGTGGTTTCAAAGAGTACAAATACCTCTCTGGATTGTGATCATGAGGGCAAATCTATTGGCCATGTGGCATCTCATGTCATAAGCATCAGACCCTGTCCCAATAGGGGCCTTATTCTGAGAGAGAAAAATTTGCAGGGGTTTTAAAAAGCACCAAATGACATCGTTTTCTCCACTCTCCCTCTACTTTTACTCTCTCCCACATGGTCACAGAGCAGAAGAGGTTTCTGATGCTGAGCTTGTTGGAGAACCTCTAAGCAGGCCTGACCTCATGCCTTTGTATCCACCAAAGCTCCCTTGTGGTGTTCACATACCTGAGCAAGGAAGCCCACTCCCCCTTTATCTGCCCTGCTCGCTGCTCCTGGCCGTGGGGAGCTCTATGACGAGCCCCAAGCCCTGATGCCCCCAGGCCGGAGCAAAACCCTCTCTCTCAGTTACCTAGGAACAGATGTCAGAGGAGGACAGCAGTGCGCAGGCGCAGAGCCTTTGGTTGGATAAAGGCCTGTCCGAACCTCAAGGAGAAAGGGGCAGGGACGTGTTCTACGTACAGCCTCCCTGCCCTCCTGCATCTGGCTCTCTTAAATG